ATTATCCACAGCTTTAAAAACCAAGACCTTTAACAACATTGAATGACCTGTGTCTTTTCATGGCAGAAAAAAGGGAAAGATTTTATGTGACGCCAAAGTCCTTGAAGAGTCATAAACAGAGCAATTCAACTGTATGATGAAAAAACAGTTTGCTACAAGAGCTGTTCTGCTGAGAGGGGAGTCTTTTGCCTCTTATGAAACCAGAATTGTAACTAATAAATCTCTATTTCACTGGACAAAAAGGCTTCTTGTAGAATCAGCATGGTTGGGTTTTTCCTCACTAAGCAGGAACATACGTTATTAAAGAGGGACCCTTGTTAGTTTTCAGGCTTGGCGCCCAAATTGGCATTTAGCGAGGCAGCAGAAAGCTCTAATTGTGTGTGATGTCCCGAGGCAGAGGATGCTGATTACTGTAAGCCGTCTAAAACACTTCACCTCCCAGTTAAGTAAAACAGGACAACATGAGGCTAAACAAGCAAAGAAAACTATCTCCATGCAGTTTCAAGAGTACTTATATTTAGGAATTTTAGTTCCATCAAAAAATGAACTTCTCTCACTTCCACTCAATTTTTAAATCTGCAGGGTTTTTTTTTTCATCTCGGAGGAACTGCCGCTGAGTAGCCCCGAATAAGTCAGCCAACTACATTAACCATCAACTTTAAAAGCACTGCGAGTCTCTGAAGTCGAGATGAGACCAGTGCTTCAGTTTTCTCTGAGAGAGTCATACATCTCTGCTACATGACACAGACGTTTGACGTCCGTGAGAATGACACTGAAAAACGTATCCGACCCTTTTATGTTCAATTTGATTTATTGATTCGGATGATGGTGGGGTGTAGTATGGAATTATGGTATTTACAGATGCATCTTAGAAATGACTTGCGTTCTAACTGAGCAGAGACAGTCCAATCAGTCAGTTTTGGACGTGTACGGACAGCTTGTCAGTATCCGCTCATTACATGGATGCATTTTCAATACTTTTTTTTTTTACTAGAATTCCAAAATGTATTTGATTTTATGCAATCTTGTGTTTCAGTTTTAGACGTCTTATAATGACTTGTTTTGGTAGCGAGATAATTAAAACGTGGCTGATCTGATAAAGCAGAACCACATTTCATTTTAAAAACATCATGATCATTCATCACTCCGTTCACTGTGTATCGTTCATTATCTGTACTGGTGTGAGCAGTCATCATTTAACATGTGCACCGACCAATGTGTCAAAGATTAATCTGGAAAAGTCAGAGCTGAATGTTTCTGGTTTGGAGACATCTGGAGCTTTGATCTGCGCCAACAGTGTGAGATGGACTTTTTGTTTAGTTTTCTCTAAAGACTTCCAGCTGCTTTATCGATGTTGATTGTTTATTATCATCACAAAGCAGGTTGGACATTAATGCAGTCTGTGATACATTGAACACTACACATATTAAACCATAAATTCCCACACCAGAGAAAACCAATTAACAGCAAAGCTGTGATTTGAAAATAAAGAAAAAGAAAAGATGATTATCAAATTAAGCTTCTGTGATTTGATCAAATCTGACATGTTTTAATCAAATCACGTACAAATTCAAGAGAACATGTATCAGTTTAACTAAACTTTCATCCTGTCTGTTTTTGTCATTTATTATTTTAGTTCCACCTCTGGGATAATCTAAATCTAGATTTGGCTTGGCCTTTGACTAAGAAGGTTTGCTTTCAAAGCACCACTGTGTTGCAGGCTCTGAAGAGCTTTAAAGACACATTTATAGTACAGTTTGTAATACAGTTTACGGTCGAGGCTTAAGGAAAATACAGTAACCTACAGTCACGCTGACAGCAGAACACATGGCATAAAATCTATGTCACATCAAACTGCCATGGTACAACCAGGGTACATTCTAACAGAGCACACATTTTACTTCCTATAAATTGAGTCATTCTAGTCGTTTTTAGTGAATGTAGTGTGTAGACTTTCTGTATAAGACTACAAAAACACTTCTTGCATTGTCTCATATACTGTATTTCCTCATAACTGCAACTAGAGACAGAAGCTGAACTCTTACGTTAGCCGAAGAGTCACATAAAGTGCACAAGAAGGTGCTTACTGTATATTGCATTTGTGTAAATATTTCCTGAACTTCCTATTCAGTTGCCACTGTGAAGTGTTGTAGAGACAACGGAAAGAGAAGAGTATTCCTTTTATAGTTGTTTTGTTTCCTACAGGTGGGATACGGTTCAGATGAGCCTCTGACTTGAGTTACGGCTCTTAATCTATATTCCATTCAGCATGCACAGTGTTTTTATCTGTTAATTATTTATATTTCTACAAAACCATCTCCTCCCTTGGCTCCCATGGGTGCAGCCAGCACCCCCACGACAGACAATGCAGTTTTGCATATGGTTCATTTCCTGCCTCAAGCCTACAGCAGCAGGGCACAGTTACAGTAAGCTAATGGGTTTGACATGCTAATTTTGTGCTGCATTCATATGCTCTAGTGTGCAGTATAATTTACCGTATCAACAGAAAAGGTTACTACCATTGATATAATGACCTATATCATACCTATACCTACAGTATGATTCCCTCCCACAGGCTATACACCTAATCACAGCCATGAGAGCAGCAAACTATTTCTTTGTAAAAGATGGCATTCACCTGCATCAGTCAATCATTTAGCTTTGCATTTACACAGCCACCAATTACTTAGATACATGCTTCTCATTAAAACCACATCATGAACAGAAATGATCTCTAGCACTGTATCAGTTCAGCGCTTCAGAGCTCACATTCCCTCCACTGGCAGACGCTTCTGTCTTAATAAAGACACAAGGGTAAAGCCATACATCTCATCTGTCCTGTTATTTTCCCCAAGAAAAATAAATCGGAGAAAATTTGCTCTGAAGTAAATAGCACGAAATTACGTTTTGTTCCCAAGTGCACAGCACATACAAATTCAGAAATGATTGAGGTGAATTATTGAACCAAGCGCGAGTAGCATGTTTCTGCGTACATGAAAGGGAAAGAGTGTATGAGAGTATGTGTGTGTGTGTGTGTGTGTGTGTGTGAGAATGTACCCGCAAAACATTCTTTGTCAATGACATGATGACACTTGCGAACATGCGCACCAGCAATTACATTTTCTCCAAAAATGTACTTGGAAGAGCAAATGTGCAGCATACTGTGTAACGGCATTTTGAAGGAGACGGGGTTTAATCTATCTGTTGTGAGTGTGGGTTCACACTCTAATAGTATGTGCAAACTCAACACCTATCTGGGCACAAAGGGTTGGTCAAGGTAAAAAAAAAAACAGACGGAATGATTAAGACTTTGAAGTCAAGATTAGAATTGTGATTGGGTTCATTCTTAGGCAGGAGTTTGGGAGGCGTGTAGCAGTACGGTTAACATTACTATAGGATAAGTAAATAAAATGGCCTCAAAAGTAAAGTAGTACACATTTGCATGTGTGCTGGTTGTAGGAGGGAGCAAAATGAAGGCAGATCAAGAGAGAGGAAGACGTTTGGGGGAACAAAAATAAATCAAAAACACAATGAAGAGAAAGGGGGTCAGGCTACAAAAAAAAAATCTGGTGGATGGAAGGAGGGAGAATAAATGGGAGATGAAGTGTGGAAAATAGGGAAAGGGCTGCTGATGTGCTTCTTAAGCAGGTCATTGGATGCAACGTGCCTTGGGAGGGCTTGTTTAAGCATGGCTAACAGATTTCTTCACTCCCTGCGGGAGCCGTTCCTCGGCTCTGGTCCGGAGAGGCACTGTCACTTCAGGACGCATTACTAGGAAATGGAGCACGCAGCCATTAAACGACTTCTGAGCTATCGTCTATCACAGACGGCGAGGAAAACTCCATTACCCATAGATGCCGTTTAGCTAATCAAACAGGACAGGGCGGATACAAAATGTACCATAAACTGAATGTTATCAGGAACAGAACATTTAAAAGAAACCTATGCGTTTCCTTTATTTCCTAATTGCTACAGGTACTTCCTGACATAAAAGCAATTGAAACCATTAATAGCAGCGCAACTGACATGTTTCATAAGGGCTCATTTCTGCATTTTTTTTTAAACTGCATTCTGTAACGACAACCATATCATCTGCATCACCCTCTGCTGCAGAGGAGTCTCAAGGTGCCCTGCTGAAGCTGCAGAATCAATACTTCTGTCCATCGTGTCTGCCTGGGGCTCCTGAGCCCTCTGCCTGTCTCTAATGTGTGAAGCCTACAGCATACTGGTGAACACTGTCTCTTGATCCTGCTCATCCTCTTATTCAGCACTGAAGGGCACAGAGCTCTGTAATCCACCGCCACCAGTCCCTGGCAGAATTCATGGTCGACACCAAAGCCCTGTTATTCACACAAGCCCCCCACTGCCAAGGGCCAGCACCGCCTCAAACAGTACTTCACAGAGACGCATACAGGCTTCACAGTCTCACACAAAAACACAAGCTTCGTAGCTCGTCGAACTCTCCTTCTCTCATGCAAACGGACACACAAAGAGCCACGCATAGGTCTGTTGGTGCTCATGGCTTCAGGGCTTCATATTTCCCAATTTACATTGAAGGAGTTGATAGTGCCATATGTCTCACGCTGACTTCAATCCGCTCTCCGTGCTAGATCGCCTCCCTAATGACAGTAATTGCATTGAGGAAGCCCCCGGTCCTGTTCAATTACCCATTCCCATCCAAGCACACGGGTCTAATCTTGCAGTATAATGTACGATACAGATGGCTATTAAAGGCAGACATATTCATCACTGCCTCATCTTTGCTGCAACGTGTGAAATCCAGTAGGAGAACCACGTCGCATTTGAAATGGTTAAGAAGTGGCACTGAGTTTTCATTATCTGATCATTATCTGAAAACTTGTGTTTGCAAGAGTAAAATTGTTATATTTGTCTCCTTGAGAGGATAAGTAAAGGAATAATCTCTACCTGGCTCTGAGTGGCTGTTTTCTCACAAACGATGTGCAAAATCAGAGAGTGAACACAGTAAAATGAACACTCACCCTAGAGGTTTCTCCAGGCGACTGGCAGGTGATCCCACGATCTCTCCCAGTGTACAGTAGACCTGTCCTAGGAAGTCCTGCCATTGGGGGGAGCATAAAGTGGTATGGAGAGACGTAGGATGTTCAGGTGGATCACGGGGGGGTAACAAGGAGAGTCGGTGAGGAGTTAAGCAGCGTTATAATAATTGTACGGTTATGAATTAGGACATCTGAGGCAGACACGTACGTCAAGGTCGGTTGGCTTCCAGGGTGAAGGAGTAGGAGCAAGAGAGAGAGACCAGGCAGTAGCAGTGACACAACAGAGCATATCATGGAACAGAAGGCACATGACTCAAATACCAGACTGTCATCAACCAAGTGCAAGAAAGAAGAGCAAAAGTGAAAGAGCTGAACAGCAGAGGGTAAGAGTCTCAGAGGAGGACAAGAAGAAAAGGGAAACAACACAAGAGATGGGAAGCAACAAAGGCCGACAGAGTTTTATTCAAAGGACTTGTTTCCAGACCATGCAGCACAAAAACACAACAATTAAAGCGTCACAGTAATAGAAGCAAAATTACTGCTAACCATTTTGGAACTATGCAAACCAGGTGCTGCAAATATATTCTTTATGTGTCTATGTAGAATGAGTCATAGTTTATTCATCAAAGCTTTCACCATAAATGACGACAGTAACATACATCATGTTTACCTGAATGTATGTTCTACAATAAAGTGCTGTCCTTTTCAGACAATTTAAATACATATCAATTATATTGTTTTGAAATATACATTTATATGGATATATATATATATATTCTGTCTATCTTAATTGCAAAGACGAAGCACACAAGAATATGTGTTGAAAAGCTTTAATAATGATCTGCCATGCTTCATTTCTCATTAAGAAAAGGTAATGAGGGTATACCAGATGCAAATTAAGCTCTGATTGTTATAGCTCCGGAGGAATAAAATACCTCATTTACAAACAGAAGGAGATGTAAGATATAATATAAACAATATTTTGGCAGATGACGCATAATTCATGCCTTATTCCAAGATATATTTGAGCATTTAGATGGCCCAAACTTTGGTTTGCATAAAGCCTTAATGTTCTAAACACTAATAACAATTCGCACTAATGTCTGAAATATAAAGCGGAACTAATGAACCTAAAGAAAAACGTCTTCACTTACATGCTTTGCCAGATCTGGACTTTTAGAATCAATATCATACCTGAAATCACAAAGAGACCACAAATCACAGCGGCAAAGATGTGAACATCATGAGACACTACAAATTGCTACTAAAATACTGTCTGCTGAGTGGACATTTTTTGCCTGTCAATCATACACCTGGGTCATTGAGGGAGCAAAGGGGTAAGGTTAATTAAGGAAGTAATTCTATAGTTTATGAATGTAATTTCCGTACTATGCCGAGGGGATCATATTCAAACAATCTACCAATGCAGACAAAGTTTCCAGCATTTGCCAGTCAAACTTAATGCAAAAGTAATTAAAGCTCAGTATGCCCTGGCTCCCACTTCTGTGATAAAAGAAAGATGTAGATGAGCAACACTAATTAAGAGGGGATGCACTCCCTCCTTTCCTGTTCCTGAGTCAAATCATGATAGCATGCCAAATTCATTTATTATGTGTCTAAAAATCCACAGAGACCTGCAGCTCTGTCCTGGATACATCACTGAGGTCCACTAGGGACTTCATGCTTGAAGCGAGGAAAAAAAAAAAAAGGGGGGGGGAAGGATTTTTGAGAGCATAGCTGTTCTACTTGAGGAGGGGGGGGAAGAGCGGAGAGAATGATCCCGACTCTTTTCTGGAAGATCTCAAAATGAAACTGCACCTTCCTGACCCTCTCGCTAGCCTGGCCTTTTCAAGAGGAGGAAGGCAGCTATATGTGAAAGAGGGGAGGAAAAGAGGCTTTGTGAGTTTTATGGGACTTGGTTTCAGACATTTGCTTTGCTTAGCAGCAGGGAGATTTAGGATAAAACTTTATATGAAATATTTATCACCGTTATACCAATCTCTCTTCAACAAATGACTACTGAGACACTGCACCAATGAATAATTCCTCAGGAGAGCCGAGCCGAGCTGGTGCAAAGGGAGGGAGGAGAGAAAATGAGAGACAGGAAGGATGGAGAGGGGGTGAAGAGATAGATGGGGGGAGATAGAGAGTGAATGAGGGAGAAGATTCAAAGCTTGTGGTGGGAAAAAAGGAAGAATTGGGAGGACTGGGTTAGGAGAGACCGGCACATCTGAAACACACACACCTCAGTGCGAGTCCCCAGAGGCACGGATCAAACAGAATAACTCACACGTCAAAGCGCAGGTTCTGCTTCTCCTCAAAGAAGTAGTCCAGGATGTACTTCCTGACAAAGTCTGGATTTAGTGTGTTGTCTATCACCTCTGTTCTCCCAAACTAGATCAGAACCAGGAAAGAAGAGCAAAAAGACAGAAGAGGAAGAAGTAAGCCCAGAGCTTTGACACGGCACATCATGCAGTCACTCAGAAACTACATCCACTGCTCTATTTCCTCCCCCCCGCCCACATGATCTTCCCCCAGCAGGCATGTGAGTTGACAGCTTCAGATAAGCTCAGATTTGATTAACAGAAGTCAGTGATCGCACAGTGTCAGCTCTTCTTCTCCACCTCTTCTCATTGTGATGGGGTTGAGCAAGCCTGAGGAAAAAACTTTATGGAGTCCAATTACACTTATTTAATTAACAACCCATTCACGCCTCTGTCGCCACCACAACCACTTCAAAAACACGGGGGCAGAGGATGGAGTGACAAGACAAAGGCAGAGAAAAATAGGGACTTTCATTTCACATTTGGTCTTTACACAGGGGAACTGTCACAAATGACGGAAAGATAGAAAACTATCTCCTGATCCCTGGCGTTAAGAAGAAAATAGGAACCTGCCAGCACAGACACTGAAAAAAGATTTGTCAGCATTACAGAGCGAGAGCTTCTGATGAGGCGATGTGCTGATAAACAAATCAACAGACATAAAAAGTGTTGCACCCCCTGCACAAGCACATTAATTGCATCCAAAATGAATAATTCAAAGTCACAGAACTGATGTTGAGCGGCATAAATAAAAGAACGTGTAACCATAAACCGACACAGTGAATTAATAACGGCAGTGTTGGAGCTTAATGAGCAGATGAAACAGCAGGATTACAGGCTCACACCTTTGTGATTACATCCAGTGGGGGTGAATCTCAAAGTGGGAATTAACAGGGGAGCTACACAGAGTAACGTTACAGCAGTAGAATACTTTTAACGGATGGATGCCTATGCTAATGCGAAGATATGACAGTTTGAGAGTGGGTTTGCTGAAGTGTAACCTGCCATCAAACATAAAAGTGTGTCTAAGCCTATGAAAGTTGAACTGCTGTCTGGCAGCAGCTCTCCTCTCGCTCTTCCTCTGCATCCCTGTCAGATAGTGTGAGAGCTCCCGTCCAGCAGATGCAAACAGACGGTTATTTCAATGATAGGAGCTGAATGTGGAGGTAGGGAGCCAACAGCATATTCTATTTGGTCCCAAATAACTGTCAACCTTCCCGAAAAAAGAGCACAGGGATAGGCAGCGTGCACTTCTTCGCCTCGAAAAACTCCCAGCTAGGATAAATTGTGAGCTGCAGTGTCAGAAAATGAATCTTGGTAAAAAGATTAATGTCTCAGAGTTCGACTAGAAGTGGAAAAACCAGGCTTTGCTTGAATTTGGGGAGGTTTTGTTGTGTCAGCTAAGTGAAAACGGTAGAAAGCGGAAAACCTGAAGTGTCGCGCACTGGGAGTAATTACAGACGAGGGAGTCAGAGGGAGAAGATTAAGACTTTACAGTCATGTGGTAGAATGATGGGCTGCAGCTACAGTTTTATTTATTCGACTACGGATTCAATTAAATTCAAATTAATTTGTATTGCACTATATACACATCATACAAAAGCTATTTATAGTTACATAAGCAAGACCAGAAAATAGGATTTTGAATCTTATTCTGAAAGCAACAGGTAACCTGTCTGACCTTTTTGTACTGGTTTAAGAAATGTGCAGCTGAGTTCTGGATAAATTGTAATCGATGGAATTGTTTTGTTTGGAAGACTCATAAACAGAGAATTGTAATATATATCCTGCTCACAACAAATGCATGCAGGAGTTTCTCTGAGCCAGGATGCTGATAGATTTACTGTAAGTCAAAGGGAGTACAGGTCTCAAGTGGAGCTGATGGAGCAATCCTCCTGGAATCAAAACACTATCCATTTGTTTTGTTATTCTTCTCTTGTTGGATAAATGTAAAAGACTCGCAGCCGATGGTGGAGTTTGTCCCATAGAAGAGTAATTGGATTACAAACGGTTGATGGCACAGTAAAAGGTGCTCCGACCAACCATATCTGCTCTTGGGAGAACAAAACCGCATTAGATGACAGAGGGGCAAAAGAGGCGCTTAGATTTATCAATACAGAACAGCTTGACTCTGCTGCTCACAAAGCCAGCTGTCCTCTGCACTGAAAACACAAGCGTGTCTCACTTTCAGGGAGAGACGATCAGGCTGCCCTCAGCGTTTGTAAGCTCGAGGCGGGGTAGTGCAGCCAGTGGTGACAGGTATAAGAGGCTCTACCCGCCTGAACTCTGCGCTTGATGCCTGTTTACATTGCATGTCAATCAGTAAAACTACTCTCTGGCCCAACTAAAAGAATATCACTGTGCTGCTATACCAGCACCGACGCTTGGTTTACTGTGAGCCAAGCCCAGCTGACCACTTATAAATTATAATCAGCCACCCAAAGTTCAAGTATTATTTGCTCTGAGTGATTAAAGTAAAGCAATGGAACACTCAGCTCACTAAGTTAATCAACAAATCAATTAAGCAATCGATCAAACATCCAACCAGTCCCTCATTCAGTCAATCATTCAGGTTAATCGTCCCTGCTGGGAAATGTATTATGCAGTCAGGTTATCAGAAATGACTCATAACACACAAGACGTGATAACACAGACTAATAACCACCATGGAGACATAGAGGTGACCCCAAATACATTAAAACAAAAATGATTAAGACAACGACTCTCAAGAAAAGTCTTGTGAACCCATCCAGTAATTTAGTTTAAATGTGATAAACCTTCTGCGTCTGTGCGTGTTTTGTTGTACTTCAAACTTCAGTCAGTTGTTTGAGTTTTAAAGGTTGAGGACATTTTTTGAAAGCAAGGACATTTTGGCCGGTCCTCACTTCATCCACGACAAGTGGAGATTCCGCAAAGTCTTGTTGTTTTTAGACTTTTTTTGTGCAGATGAAAGAAACGAAATACAACATGTTACTTAATGAGCTTTAGGGGTGCTGGATGTACTTGATTCTTATTTTTGTTGGCAAGTCACCAAAACGGAGCTCTTTAACTAGTGAGACACTTTACGGGCCCACTCACCATAACAACTAACTATCTGCATTTTCTTTTGAACTACTCAAATGAGATGAAGCTCGTGATGCATGGGCACAAGTAAAATAATATATAACTCCACTACATTTAAGGTTAGGCAATACATAATGTCAGGGACGGTTCCCAGTAGTATAGCAGGTTAAATGAGATCCAATGTCTCTCATGTTGAGATTTATGAAATGAACCTGCTCTGTACCACTGAAAGCTGATTTAAACCTTCCTCCCTTTTCAAGAGCCCACCAACACCAAAACACAGATAATAACTGAAACCTTTGTATCTTGGAGCCGAGGTTTTTCCACTCTTAAATCTGTGTGTCACACCCCTGTGCACCAGCATGACACCAAGGTCTCTGTGGAGTCAATAAACATAGCACTCCTATTGAGCCAAATTGTGAAAGCAGAAGCAAAATATTTTGAGCTCTCAAACCATCTGTCTTCCTTTTAGACAGCGTATATATATACAGTGTCGATTGAGCTGAATACATTTCTGACTTGGTTGGCTTTCAGCTTTTGAAAAAAACTGATTCGTGTTCCCAAAGAATGGCTGGATGCCGTAGATCAAAAAGAATCTGGAATTAACAACTATTTCCCTTTGAGATGTAATTTACAGAAAGTTTCTCTGTATGTCATCCGTTGAGATTACAGGATACAAATAATAACCGGATGTCTTTCCGCAATCTCTGCCCTCCTCAACCTAATCGGTCTCCCTGGTCTAATTAAAACCCAGAGGCCAACAGCCAGGGCAGACTCTGATGCGGAGGCAAATCTTTATTGATACAAATAGCTGCCACCTTAATCAGAAAATCAGTCACAGCTAACACATTTCTGACCAGCGCACGGATATTCGGGGGTCAATCAATTGCAAATGATTGGCACTCACAGCATTTACCTTGAGGGAGAAGTAGGGGAGGATGGGAGGAGGAGGGGGAGTGGTGTAAACAGAGAGCGGGCTGTCACGGAGAAGAGACAGGCTGGTTGAGTTGTCTTGACAAAGGGACGGCTGTGATCTCTTACCTCTCTCCACTGTTTGGTCTCGACGCCCTGCGTGTACAACACCAACACTGAGAAGAGAGGAGAGAGAGCAGAAGAATACATCGTCACTACACATTCTCAATCAAGCATCCTGCTTCTTTAAATGCCGTTTGGTTTGTTCCTTCTTTGCTCACATTAATCATTAATTATCCTGCCATGCCCTGACAGCATAATTAAGTGCCAAGCTTGATGACGCCGTGTTGCGTGACATTCTGGGTTTAATTTCCACATGCAAAGAACAAAGCTATAAAGCAAGATTTAAGGCTCCTGGAGCCCAATTTAAGCTGTACAATCAAAATGCAATTTCTTAACGGTAGGATTCTCCTGACTCCTGTTTGATTTTGCGACTTCAAATGAAGCTGAGGCAGGCGAACGCGATGTGACCTGTCATATATCCCAGGGTTCATCTGCAGGCGAATACCAAACAGGGCCAGTGTGATATTTTCCCGGTAGCTTATTTACACTGGGCTTGAACCTCCTCCCTATTGATAAATGTCTCATCCATTCTCTTTCCCTCAGGGAGTATGAAAGAACCTGCCTTTATGGCGGTTCCCCGTGTCTTTCACCAAAAGATACCCATTTGTATTCAAAGGCTGACTTTTATACCCTGCATGCATTAAGGTACTTTCAGTGAGGAAAGGTTGTCACATTACTGTGCAAATGATATGCAGATATTGAAGGAACACTTTGCAATAGCAGAGTAAACTGAATCAAAGTTAAGCTCAGCAAAAGTAAAAAGTATAGCTTCGCAAAAGGAGAGGAGGTGTCAATGAACCGTATTCTGAACAAGGAAAAGCTAAACTGCAATTAGCATTGAGAAAACGTTGAGAACTTACATGGGTCGGATTTGGAGAAAGTGTCTCGATCCAAGAGATTCCTGTATGAGAAGGAAACAGTCACACATTAAAATTGGGTTCCGGCATGTGGGTCTAATTAATTTCACTGAATTTTAAGACCGCGGTGTAAAGGTTGGGGGAAATCCCATTTGCAAAACACTACAAAATAATTGCATGATAATTCACAACCACACTTTACTTCACACAAACCAAACTGTCCTGGGATTTTCATTTTAAACTTGAGCAGTGCAATAAGCACATTAAAGCTCAGTGAAAGGACACAGACACCACCACAAAGCATGCTGAGGGTGTGCATTCCTTTGCCAAGGCTAAACAATACTTTACATTTATTCTAATAGGAGAAAATGTCCAGAAAACGATGGTCAATCAGGTTGGCATGCATGTGCCAGATTTATTTTTTTTATTCGAGTAAGCGTAAGTAGTTCAAGACAGAATAGCAAAACATGTTAACAACTGCCGATCTCAAAGTGAAGCATTCTTGAAAGTAGTCAAAAATATGGCCTTGTTCTTTCGCAAATGACCTTTTTTTCAACCAAATTTCGTAAACCCCATGACTAATACTGAGAAAACAACCTTCATTTGTGAAGGTTGTGAAAGATTTATGGCATCGATGAACAGAACAGAAGCAACAAAACCTCACACTTGCTGCTGCAACCTAATACAACGCATGGTTGTACTCGTTATTTGAATGGTGATTTTTGTAACGGTTGTTCTAATTTAGTTTGTATACTGTATGCCATATGGACCGCCTCTTGTATGTCATACAGCAAAAGTTTGACATCATTTCAACAAGACCCCAGGTGCAACACCAGGCTAAGCAGCCATTTTGTTGTAGCAGTCACAGGAACAACAGAAATACAATGAAGAAAGAAATCCGAAATGAATCTTTGTATTATAATTTGAGCCATCATGTCCGAGAAAAATTACAAAAGTCTCCAAGAGTCAAATCAGCACATTCATTATGTGCACCCTACTTGACCAGAGAAGGAATTAGAGCTGTAACGAATATTTGATTAACTGATTGACAAAAAACAAATCTTTGTCATGTAGGATAGTAAACCGATATATCTGTGTTTTTGACTGTTGGTCAGACAGAACTAATAATATGAAGAAGTCACGATTGGCTTTTTTTGCTGACAAAAAAATGAATCAAGAACATAGTTTGTAGATTAATTGCTAACAAAAACAATTGTTATTCGAAGCACTAACTCTTAATATCTCCATGACAACACAGAGGAAAGTGTGGCGTAATCATCTCTATCAATGCTCACACTGCAGAGTGAAGATGAGGAGTCCAGCTGTCTTTGCCCTGGTGACTGTGTCCTGAGGGCAGAAGGCAACGGGCCACAGCACAGAGTACATACGAGGATGTATTTCACCATGAGCAAGGCTACATTCAATACTCACGTAGCTTTCATGGGATCGTCCTGCAAAAGAGTGTCCCATGTGTTCACACGTTATAATTATCAGTCTGAGCCGGCAGTCACACACATTCAGACCAGTTCCCATTCAGTCTCCCTCAGTTTGAACCACAATCAAAACAAACTGGCTGCTATGAATGACAGGATACCTACAGCAGCCTTTCCCACACTCTAAATCCTCTAAACCTTCAAATAAAACACAGCCCTGCTCACTGTGGAGGAGCTAAACTGTTCCCTGACGCTGATCATCATCCAACACCTTTTCAAGCAGCCAGACACTCTGATTGGCTCACAGACTCATTTAAGATAATATGCAATCAGCATTAATATTATTCATTCAATCTTTATTTTTAGCCTGTTCCAGACTGGATTTTGTGTGTGTTTCTTTGGGAAACCGGGAAGTTTTCCAGACAACTCCTGTCGTTCCCCTTTAGTATTTCCTTCTGTCAATGTACAAGATCGAACAAAGCAGATACTACCTTTAAAACACACGGCTACTGCAAATGGGCTTGAGCATCAATCACTTAACGCAGCATTTTAAATGAGAGACATTTCCCAGTTTCAATGATCTCATTAGTATATCAGTATAATGAAAAAGCCTATAAACATGTCTTGTTTCTGCTTCCTGATTGTGAGCAGTGTCAATAAATAACTTGCATGTAGCTCAGAACAATGATCATCCCTGTAGTGGACAGCAGGATTTCAGGGCTGAATACAAGCAAGAGGGCTTCATTCATGTGCACATAATTCTGCATTCCTGGACACAAACTCTTCTGTCACAGGGATACGAGGCGGGATAACAGATGCAGCTTGGTTAGGTATTAGCCTTGGGCTGACCTGACTACAGTTGGAACATTGTCAGTGTAATTATCATTGGAGATAACAAAGCCATCCGTGACTAACTGCCTCTTTGAATCCACCTGTAACCGTCTGGCATCCATTAGCCTCCGACAATTAGCTTGTCCATCAACTCATCACATCTCTCAGCGCAGAAGAGAACGTGCTGCATGAAAAACATGACGTCCTATTTTCACATTTACATAATGTAGAAAACAAGCCTTCATTTGCGCTGCTGAACCTCACTTTGGTCTTGCAGGACATTTCTATTCCAAGAAGAAATGATTAGTAAACCGGTTTACGCACAAATGCAAATTCATCCCCCATCTTACTGTTCACATGGCCAGAGAACATACAATGGTGCCGCAGAATGGGTATTACCATCTCAGATAATCTGCTTTCACTGCCATATTTCAAAAGTGAACTCCTTCTCGCTACGAATCTCAGCGGGATAAGAGAAGATCATTATCCCGAAAGCTGATGTAGAACAAGTTTGTTGAAGATGAAGTTCATTGAAAGTAGGACAAAAGTAATTAGATCCAGCTACTTTTCATCCACGCCACATTTCATCCATCAGCCTTCTTTCATACTGGAGCACTTTTGTGATCACTATGTGATCTCATTAGAAAGATGTGAATGAAAATGGCAAACATCACTCCTATTCCTCTTGATCTCACCACCTTCATTAAAACTGTGCAATAAAAGTGCAATAATCTCCTCGAGTCACTGGAGCGTTTAATATTTTATCAAATGTGAAGCTAGAGTCTGGAGTGCATTATTAGATATGGCACAAACTAAACAACAAGAAATGAGATTGAATTTCACTTGAAAAAAAGAAATATATAATTTAAATAGCTTTCTTTGTCTGCCTCATCATCCCGAACAAAGTAATTTCATTATTCGTCAGTGAATTATTAAGCTTGCAGTTATCGGTTATGCACACTTTAATTAATAAAGCAGTACCAGGAAAATCTTCAAATGATGAATTAGTATCACACAACCAATGGATGAACTCCAAATCTGCAACTCTGTGTAAATGTTAATAAATGTTAAATATTGAGAAACATTTCCACTAGAGGCCGAGAGTAAAGAGATCTGACCTCTAAAACGTGGCTGGCTGCTGAACTCAAATTTAGAAGAATGTAATAGGAGAACACGCGGTCACTTCCCTGGAGATATTTTAGCAGCTCCTTGGTCCATGTAGCCGATTATTAAACGGAGAAATGTGAGAATTAATTCATGCACCCGCAGTGCCTTATTGTCAGAAGTCCCTTAAATTTCCTCCACTTTCTTAGAGTGGTCGAAATCTTAATTGGCACCTTGGCAAAATGGCATCTAATTCAGTGTTTTTAAATTGTCTTGAGTCTGGCTTGCCAACTCCAGTATGCACTGCTGCCTCATTGTTTCTTAAAAGGACACAACAAATGCAAGCTTGAAAGTCAAGTCTTCGACTAGCTTTAGAGGAAGGAAAGTCTCCTTATTACATTAGAGACAATGGGAGATTGCTGGGAGGAGAAAGTGAGGGACGGTTTGCATTTTCAAGTCTACTCTGTCACTTCACTTTCACTACTGCCCTATGGCCCTCTCTTTTTTTGATTGAGGACAGACATTTTATTTCCACTCATACACCACGAGGGCAGTAGGTCTTACTTTTGTCTAATATGGCCTGAAGCAGCCTCTCAGTGGGGTGAAACGGTCAGGGAGCCAAAGACGTGAAACACATGCTGCAGCAGAGGTCAGCTGGAGGAATCCCATTATTTAGACTGAAACACTACTTTCCTTAGGGTGTTTTTGAAATTCTTAAAAATAAATACCTACAATATATAATGCAGCACAGACCATCAGATACATGCGTCAAGGAGCACTACCGCTGAAACTAAAACAAACAAACTAAAACAACAACTGATCAAATCTAGCGCACGTCTGCATTTCATTATCGGAAATGATATCTGGCCTCATTGCATAACTAAATCCCCTGAATAGTGACAGATGATGATACACAGTAATGTTGCTTTTGTCTACATCTCAAAAACTCCCCTCAATTCCATTCAATGTGCAATCTGGTCCCTTTATTAGTGACAGACCCATCTGCTGACCTTCACTGTGATGGCACCAGGTGTCTTCTCCTCCTCCATCTGTTTAATTATTCAGTTTCTGTTCAAACTGGGAACTCTCCAGGTCAACAATACCTGCAGCAGAGCACTCCCTGTGCGGCCGTCTCGCGGGCAGCCGTCTCGCAGGCGGTGACAAAATCTCCGTCATAAAGCTGCTGTTATGAGAATCCACATATGCCGCAACTCCCTGTTTCAGAGTGGCTTTTGGTGTGTGACCAGCAATGTCTGACCAGGGAATAATATCACTGCTAATTGCAGTGTGACAGCTCACGGCTTTCTGCAGGGAAAGGTCTTCTTTTCTTTTTTTTTGTGAGGAGCTGAGGGAGATAGACACTATGGGCTGTTATAACCCTGGCAGAGCACTTTGCACTTATTAGTCTACTGTTAAAAAAAACCAAGCTGCAAAAATCTTTGCAGGCCAACACTAACAATGTACTTCACAAACTGTCCACTTAAATCACATTAAAATCTACATTAGGAACCCAATAACGCACAATAAAGTATTTCTAAGCCCATACATATTTCGGCTTTAAAATGACTAAGTGATCATTAACTTGAGATAGAGAAAGGAAGCTCTGCTTGGATTCAGTCAAGTGTGGAGAGGTGAGAGCCGGTTCAATGTGTTCCTGATAATAAAGCTTTCAAAGA